CCCCAAAACCCCAAAACCCCAAAACCCCAAAACCCCAAAACCCCATTATATCAATTAATTATATTAGAAAATGGAAGATTCTATAGCAAGTACCCGAGACAGTGTTGAGGAAACAAGGGATGAAACTTTAGAGATATCACCAAGGTACTTCGTTGCATTAAAGTTTTGTCAATCTCATATGAATTATAGATCTTTTGAGGAACAAAATAACTCAGCTGGAAATGAGTCAGAAGAGAAGAAAATATTCGATGACAATCCGTTCTCTGTGCATAATACTTTCTATATTAGGGATCATAGTGAAAGTGATTTGATATCTACATTAAACTTTTCTAAGCAGATTGTGTGTATTGGAACCATTACTGGAATGTTGTATAAACTAGATAGCCTCGGATCAGCGAAGAACCTTAAGACCAAGCATACAACTAAGATCACCTGAATCCTGATTGAAGGCAACACCATCATTTCTTCTTGTGAAAAGGGCATTATTTTTGTCCAATCGCTTGACTCAGAATTTGACGATGTTGTCATTGATCTTGGCAACGAAATTCCAATTAACTGAATGAGAGTCAAAGGTAAGAAATTTCTCTATTTTACTGCAAACACACTTTAGAAAATAAAGGGTGGTACTTTTATAAATTTTAGGAGAGCTAGACCTGAACAATATCCAGCTGATCCTGGGCACGACCTCTGGACAAGTTATCTTTTATTCAAAGGGATGGTTAACAGAGAAAATAGTGGATTTGCATAAAGATGAGAAATAAAGATCCAATTACTTCCCTCTCTTATTGTGATGAGATAATTGCCTGGTCAAACAAGAATGACATCAAGATCAAGGATATTAAGAAAGGAACCAAACTAGGCCTTGTTGTTAGACCAGACTTACCAGAAGATACTCCAAATAAGAAAATCAAACAAACAGCAGTTCCTTATGTTATGCTGAAACCTAAGAAGAAAGGCCTTTGAATATTTGCAATCTCTTGGATTTATATGCTGAGAATTTATGCTATTAGTAGAAAGGATGACCAAAGCCCTGCAAAGATTCAGAAAATACACGAATTCTTGCTAGACCCAGTTAAAACATATCTCTGTGGGTTTACATTCATCGATGAAAATTTTCTGTTCTTAGAATTTATGGAAAATGAGCCTTACAAGCCATACTACATTGTATATTCTGAAGAAAATAAGCTATTATTCAAAGAGAGTATAAAACAGGCTGAGATTTATACTAAATATAGTGGGATCCATTACAAAACTAGTACTATCAAGAACCATCCTTCTGATGGACAATGCATTCTTTACAACCCAGAGACTGTGTTTCAGATCCAACCGATTACTTTGAAGGAAAGAGTGCTATATCTTTATACTAAGAAGAGGCTTAATGAATGTCTCTACTTGGTAAATGAGAATCAAAACTCCTTACCTGAGGATCTTGTGCTGAAGGTATGGAATGCTCATCTAGACCATCTTGTTCGAGAGAAACAATTTGAAAAAGCTCATGAACTCATTCCGAAGTACTGTGGTGGAAATTATATACAATGGAAACATTGGATAATGCTATTTAAAAACAAGAAAGCACTATGATTTCTAGTCGAAATTGTTCCAGTAGGAGACCCAATCAAACTCCCTCCTGATTTGTACGAACTGATATTTCGTGAGTTTTTAAAGATCAGTGATTTTGGGAATTTATTAATATGTGCAGAAAGGTTTAAAGCTCACTTGTTAGACTACACCAAAATATCGAAAACTTTGTATGATACTTATATCGAGAATAATGAATTAATAATGAACTCACTTTTCTTTAAAACTTTGCTACTTGTTACAGAATACATTGATAACAAAGAAGGGTTGTTCTTATTGTTCCTAAAATCTAAGAATGATCGTGCATTTGATCTTCTACAAGAACCAGGAATGCCATCCACAGGTAGCAGTGGAGTAGAAATAAACTTAGAATCAAAAGATAATCATATCCTTGATCTCATCTCCATTTCTCCTAGTAAAGCAGTAGAGTACTTCAGGGACAAGGAGAGAAATGAGCAAGGATTCATTACAAAATTAATCCCATTTTTACAGCAAAATTCTGAAAGGGATTTGCACAACTTTCTCCACCATCTCCACTTGAGGGACAATATTATGAGTGTGTCTTTTAACCACCTTCAGCCTAGGCTGTACATTAAATATGACCAGAAGAGCCTTCTTTCATTCTTAAAATCAACCTCTCAGTACAATTTTGATGAAGTATTAAAGTTATGCAATCAGCATAAGCTATTAGAAGAAATTGTGTACATTTTAAAGCTCAAAGACAGCAAGTAAGCCAGCCTAAGTTTAGCTATAGCTCTGATGAGATCCTCCAGATCTTGATCAACGAACTTGGTGACTTTAAACAAGCCATAGAGTATGTGTTCACAAAGCAAATTGGCAATAAGGATCTCTGGGATTCATTATTTGTAGAATCACAGAAGAACACTGAGTATTTAGCAATGCTATTGAGGTATATTGAGTATTACTCTCAACCAGAAACCTTGATAGAAGCCATTCCTCAAGGGACTGAGTTGAAAGAGGTTAGAGATACTTTGATAGAAGCATTCCAACAGATTAAGCTTCAACTTGGGATTTTAGATAATTTTAAACTCTGAAGTAAGCAATTTTGTAAGATTTTATAGCCAAAAATGAACTTCTCTTAGCCAGAAGTTGTCAAATAAATCATGCATTCTCTGGAGAAGTTATCAATGAGGGACAGTGTCGTTATTGTCACGAACCTTTAATTGATCTTGAGATGCTACAAGAGATAAAATCTGCACAACCAGTCAAACTTTCTTCCAGACGTAGACTTGAAATAAAGAACCTGACAACAGAGATGAGCAAACTGAGTATCATAACCTTTCCAAACTGAGGGCATATCATGCATTTGAAATGACTTCCTAGCCATCGTAACTGTATTTTCGCTCAGAAAGAACATTAGAAATCTAGAACTTTCATCTAATTTTTTGTGGTAAGGGGTTTTGGGGTTTTGGGGTTTTGGGGTTTTGGGG